CTATTTAGATTTTTTATTGATTTAATAAATACATTATTTTAAGTTTACAGTTTGAAAATATCTGGGGGGCGGAGTCCCAGAGTCCTCCTTCACGAGCGCCACTGATCCTTCGTACTTTTGATGACAATCCGAGACGCTCGCGGGCAGATCAATAACTACAAATATCTAAATCTTAAATTTTTTAGCACAAAATTCTGTAGACGGATCAATCCTCATGCAGTAGACGTGGAATAAGGAATTACCATAATATCAATGTTCGGGCACACGAAAATCCTCGAGAAATTGGGCCCTGATCATTTTTCAAAATTAATTTTCCGTGAATTTTTTGTTGCGAGTTTTTGATAATAATGTTTGTGGTCCACGTTTCTACTCTCAGGGTTAAACTCAGAACTATTTCTTGAATTTCTTACTAATAACCTGCAGGACTTCATCGAGAATATACCCGTTAACTTAAGACTTGAAAGCTTAAGAAATGGATGAAGCCCCCGCATTTTGGAATAGCTGTAAGAGATTGGTTAAAACTAATTATCCGCAACGTTGGATTGGCCGGCTAGGGAGGAATGACGTGAATCATGACGTGGTTAGTGGTATTGGACCAATGGCCTGCCACCTAAGTCACCGGATCTTCATCCACTGGACTTTTACGTTTGGGGAATCGGAAAAGACAAAGTTTACGCTTCTCCAGTATTAATAGGAGATCATTAAGTTTTAAAGATTCAGCAAGCCTGGAATGATATGCGGCAAAATCCAAATGAAGTACCTATCTGCTGCAATAAATCCATTAAATATACGATGTAAAACATGTATTGATGTGGGGACTACATTTCGAACAATTTATTTAACTTACATTTTTATTTTGTTGTTGTTGTTGTTGTTGTTGTTGTTGCTGTTGCTGTTGCTGTTGCTGTTGCTGTTGCTGTTNTCGTCGTCGTCGTCGTCGTCGTCGTCGTCGTCGTCGTCGTCGTCGTCGTCGTCGTCGTCGTCGTCGTCGTCGTCGTCGTCGTCGTCGTCGTCGTCGTCGTCGTCGTCGTCGTCGTCGTCGTCGTCGTCGTCGTCGTCGTCGTCGTCGTCGTCGTCGTCGTCGTCGTCGTCGTCGTCGTCGTCGTCGTCGTCGTCGTCGTCGTCGTCGTCGTCGTCGTCGTCGTCGTCGTCGTCGTCGTCGTCGTCGTCGTCGTCGTCGTCGTCGTCGTCGTCGTCGTCGTCGTCGTCGTCGTCGTCGTCGTCGTCGTCGTCGTCGTCGTCGTCGTCGTCGTCGTCGTCGTCGTCGTCGTCGTCGTCGTCGTCGTCGTCGTCGTCGTCGTCGTCGTCGTCGTCGTCGTCGTCGTCGTCGTCGTCGTCGTCGTCGTCGTCGTCGTCGTCGTCGTCGTCGTCGTCGTCGTCGTCGTCGTCGTCGTCGTCGTCGTCGTCGTCGTCGTCGTCGTCGTCGTCGTCGTCGTCGTCGTCGTCGTCGTCGTCGTCGTCGTCGTCGTCGTCGTCGTCGTCGTCGTCGTCGTCGTCGTCGCCGTCGTCGTCGTCGTCGTCGTCGTCGTCGTCGTGGTTGTTGTTGTTGTTGTTGTTGTTGTACACCACTAATTAAATCTTTTCCTGTTACAGTTTCATTAACATACATAAATGAAGTTACATTTACATCTTGTGTATTAAAAGGCTTTTGATTTGTTTACTCGTAAACTCTGAGCCAGAAAAACCGAAAGTGAGCTTTTTTCTTCCCAATTGAATGAATAATCTTGACCCGATTTTTATTTTATGAAAAAGCAGCGACATACCAATTTTTTCTTTAGAAATATCCAGTAACGTGCTAGTACGGACGCCAGTGGCAAAACTAAAAATAATGTTTTCATTGCAAAACGTGCTCCCTCGATGGTAGTTAACGTCAACAAAATTTCAATGAAATATCTGTAGCCGTTTGGCAGCAATTAATAAATTTGATTTTTTTAAACCAATTTAGAACACCCTGTATTTCCTTAACGAAGCATCTCTTGAATATAGTTTATATAGGAAACTCGTATTATTTTTTGAATCTCTATCGGTCCCTTAATTTTCCGCATCGGAAACTGGACCACCCTGTATATATATACAGGGTGTCCCAGACTCAGCGTACAAAAATTTACCAGGGAGTAGACCAGACCAAAATAAGATTAAAATTCTTATAAAATATTTTTCTGCGATACACTCTCACTGAGTTACAGGGTGTTTAGAAAAAAATAATAACAACTTTCCGCAATAACTCAAAAACCCTTTCAAGAATTTAAGTAATTTTTGGAAGTGTACATCTGTTTAAGGTCATTAAAACTACATGGTGGTTATTTCGATCTGACGCCCTCAAGGTTATGTCTTCATAACTTTTGCATATCCTACTTTTATGTAATTTGATTACGTTTTCCTGAACCTGCAATCGATTCTGAACAAAAAATCTGCGCTTGTTTCATAGCTCAAAAATGAACCGTTTTCGAGTAAATTGGGTCTAAAACATCGCCTGCATTAATTCATAGAAAAATGCATGTAAAGATTGTATTTGTTGTTATCTAGTAGGTACCTGTCATGATAAAAAACAAAGTTGTTTACAAGCGTACATGTCAAAATTAATTGCAGTACTCGAAGTTACGATAAATTATGTTTACAAAACAGCTAGATATTAAGTATTATGGAATTTTCTAACAACGAATATGCCGATATGATATTTGTCTACGGTTTCTGTGATGGAAATTCATTGATGGCGTCACGAGAGTATCTACACAGGTTTCCAAACAGAAGGCAACCTTCACAGCACGTATTCCAACGAGTTTTCTAAAGAGTTCGTGAGACTGGGAGTGTTAAAATTGGAAATACTAGAATAAGAGGTAATTTGGAAGAAAATGTACCTAATAGCTGCTATTGTTGATGATCCTTCCACCAGTGTCCGAAGAATATCAGCGTAAGTAGGTACTCCACGACGCAGAGTCTGGAGAATTTTAAACCGAGAAGAAATGCACCCATACCGTCTACATAAAGTACAAAATTTGCATCCTGATGATTCCGAAAAAAGGATACAATTTTTGCAGATGGTTGTTAGAAAATATCTATAATGACGAAATTTCCATCAAAAGATATTGTGGAGCCATGAAACTATCTTTACGAGAAATGCTATAAATAATTTAAAAAATTTTCATGTCTGATCCATTGAAAATCCGCATGTGATATGACCCTCCGCGTTTCAAAGAAGATTCTTCATAAATGTCTGAGGAGGAATTTTCAACGGAGTCATTCTGCCTCTTCAAATTATAGTAGACCGTTTGAGTTCAGAGAGATACACGGATTTTTTAGAAAATTTCATGGCGTACTAGACGACGTTCCCTTAGCTTTGCGAAATCAAATGTACTACCAACAAGATGGAGCACCTACTCGTAACGGAAGACAGGTATCTGCGTGGCTCGATTTACATTTTCCAAAATGCTGGATTCGAAAAAATGGACCTATTATGTGGCCTCCCAGGTTCCCTGACCTCAACCCGCTTGATTTTTTTTACTGGGGGTCATATGAAGCAACTGGTGTATGCCAAACCCAATAACATGAGACGATTTACTTCAAAAAATTAATGTAGCCGCCGAGCAAATTCAAGTAACCGTTGATTTGCGAAGGGTTTACATTCCTTGGTCAAACGATGTCGGGCATACATTGAAGTAAATGGACAGCATCGAGCATTTATTGAAATAATTGTTTTCTATTTTTATTTTTAATATTGTCATTTCGCTAACATAATTTCTTTTCTGTTACATAATTTTCAATTTTATTTTTAGTTCCCCTACAAGTAACCAAATATTAAATAATTCGTAGAAAACTTGTTTAGTTTCTTCATATTCATTGAGCCGCAGCTACATTAGAAACTGTACCTCAACGGCAAACAACTTTGTTTTTTATAGTGACCAACCTACTAGATAACAAGAAATAAAATCTACATGCATCTTTCTACGAACTAATGCAGTCGATACTTTAGATCCAATTTACTCGAAAATGGTTCATTTTTGAGCTATGAAACGAGCACATTTTTTGTTCAGAATCGATTACAGGTTCAGGAAAACGTAATCAAATTACATAAAACTAGGATATGCAAAAGTTATGAAGACATAACCTTGAGGACATGTTGCCCTAGGCCGCCCCTGGCGTCAGATCGAAATAACCACCATGTAGTATTAATGACCTTAAATAGATGTACATTTCATCCAAAAATTACTTAAATCCTTGAAAAGTTTTTGAGTTATTGCGGAAAGTTGTTATTATTTTTTTCTAAACAACAACCTGTAACTTGGTGAGAGTGCATCGCAGAAAAATATTTTATAAGAATTTTAATCCTATTTTGGTCTGGTTTATTTTTGTACGCTGAGTCTGGGACACCCTGTATATATATATATTGTTATGGTATATAGTTATGTGACTTTATATTTGTATGAGCGCCTAATTAAATTTTAAATTGTGTTTTAGTGTAACATGTAAATTTGATTTTAGTGTGATGTTGTATACCTTCTCCCTGCTAGCTTTAGACTCTCCTCAGTAGTCGGTTCAAATCAATATTTTATTCTTCCAGAAACCAAACACAACTAACAACTCTAAACAACAGATGTTATCAATAAATTAATTTATTAATATTTTATTTTGTATATCAATGTTTCAGTTTAGAAATGTCACACATTATCAAATATTTTGAAGTTTTTTACAATGTCTTGAACACTTACAACAAGAATTTATTTCGATTTGGCTAATTTCCTGAAATAACTGTATTACTGGTTGCTTTCTATACATACTTTCAATTTTCTCGTATAATTACAAATTTTTATGATGCTTGCTATATATCTGCATTAAATTTGTTAAAAATTGAAATCTGAATTTCTGAAAACTTTCAAGCGAATTTTACTTTTAATTTGTGCACAAATTGTCTACGAAAATGAAAGGTACCTTTTTTATACGTATTATTTGTTTAATTCCTTTTTTTCCTGTCTCAATAGCTTTTTGGACACTGTCGGCTATACCTCTTTCTGACGAATTTCTTGGGACCTGTTCCTGCTACTACTTCGACTTTCTCTCTGCTACTGCTACTACTAGGCCTCTTATTTATCTGGTTTCCTGGGACTTGCCTGCTGTTGTACTTCTTTCTCTCGGAAGCTGCTGTCTTTCCGCTTTCTCTCTGCTGCTGGTGCTGATGGTTCGTTTTCTTTCTGCTGCTGTTGCTGCTGGTCCGCTTTCTTTCTGCTGCTTCTGCTGGTTTCTTTTTCTTTATTTCTTTAACACTCTCTCGATAAAAGAGTTTTCCGGGTTTTTAATATATTTCTACAATATCTGACTTTTTCACCCAAATTAATTCGTAACTAATCAATCTTTTCTTTTTCACTACCTTGATTTTTGGTTTCTTCCTTGTTAAGGCCTTTCCACATATCTGATTTTGCTTTCTTTTTACTTGCCGTTTTTCTTTTTCACTCACCTCACTTCACTTAAACCTTTACACTTATGCCCTATTCTAATTTCTTAACAATCACATTTACATTCTACTTCAAAATATTTCTCATTCTATACTCTTATTTGACTTTTCTATATACTACTTTATTCCTTGTGAATCCCACTTTAATTTTGACATTTCTATGACATATTAATTTATTGATATACAACTTTTTCTTTAAACCTTAATATCTTTTCCTAATTAGTATTTTACCTTATATTATAACTATTTATGAGCACTCTGACATTTTAACTTTTATTAGATATCTGTCACTTATGAATTTGAATTACTTTTAGTTATATTTTCTAACAACTTCTTGGCATATGCTCTATCTGACCCAAATTATAATTATTTTTATATTTGAATTTTGAAATTTATCCTATTCTAATAATCCGATGTTTCCTACTACTTATTCAATACTAACAACAATTTTTTTAATCAAATATTTTCTTAATTTTATAATAACCATTTCAACCATTATTTTTACCGCTTTGTCTTTTAAATAGAAATTTAATTCAAATTTTAATTTGCTCTCTCACATCTGATTTCATCTCAATATATATCCCACACAGCACAGTGACATTCCTAGGATGTACTGAGGATAACTTTTCAGGATATATAGGATATCCTCGGATAGGTACACGATCACCTCAGGACGTACCAGGGATATCCGAATGGAACAGCCTGGGCTTTGCTTTTGCCGTCCTAAGGATATCCGCCTGGCTATATACAGGACATTGTCAGGTTATCAGTGGATCAAATGAGGACAACCTAGGCTTTACTGTTGATGTCCTCAGGACACCAGCCGGGCTATTATCAGGTTATCAGTGAATCAAATGAAGACAACGTAGGCTTTACTGTTCATGTCCTCAAGACATCAGCTGGGCTATATACAGCATATTTTTAGTACTTATTGGGCTAATAAAAAAATTACAGGGTGGTATTAAATATAGATAAAATACGTGCCTACCTAATTTCCAAAACAATTGCTTGCCATTTCCACTCCATCTAATATTTTTTATTCTAAAAAAGTACTGACATACAAAAAAATGAAAAGAGAAATCTGATCATTTATCTACTCGGTTATAATATGTAATACGAGATTTGATTTCTTTGAATACCACTGGGATAAAAATTAACAATACAATATTTTGGATCTGTTGATTAGATTAGTCATAAATACGTGAAGGGTAGTTTTCATTTTTATGCAAGAAGTACCCCATCGTTGATGCCATGCATGTATTTTTTAAACATTTTACTCACCAACTTACTAAGATCTGACTACAAAATTCTGTAACATAGCTACCGGCAGATATTTTTCTGCTTAAGACTACATACAAGTTTTCAGAAACATCTCCAAATTATTTAGATATACACATCAATGGTTCATATTATTCATAAAACTGGTTTGAGGCATTTTTTTAAACTGGAACAAATAAGACCTAAACTACATCGTGAGAATAAAATATAAACTTTAACAGCACTTATTTTTAAACTGAGTTCTTGAATAAAAAAATAAAATTAAACTGTATTTTTTTTATTCATTGCACATTATAAATATAAACTTAAAAAGCAAATTTCACATGTATATATAATAAACTCTTTCTATGATACATATAACAACTTTTTTATTACAGAATATAAACAAAGTTATATACACCACTAAGTTATTATTTGTATTATATGTGTAACTATTCCTTATAAGCTGTTGATCTGGTCTCTTTTTATAGTCTCTCATTTGCATTCCGCGGCATGTTTTAATGCTCTCCCCATTATCTTTTTCTAGGCAATTTTTTGTGTAATGTCCTTGTGAAATTCCAGCTGTCAATTTGTAGAAAAAGTATGTTAATAATACATTTACATTGTAAACAAGTGACAAAACAAAAATTTTCATTAAATACATTTAACAAGACTATTCTAATTTCATGAACTATGCATTATAATCTGTTGATATCAAGCTTAAGCTATTCTAATAGATAATACGTAATTCTGCCTACGATTTATAATGTAATCCTTATAACTCATAATGTTGGTACAAATATTACAGACAGAGAACTATAATAATATAATAAATTAATTAAACTTATGGGTTACAATCCTTTGTCAGAACACCTATATTCAACACATTAAGAACTAAAAATTATAGATTTGAACATATTATGTCTTTACAAATAGTGTTAAAAACTATACTAATTTTTGAATGGTATTAGATTCTACAGGGTGATTAAAAAAACCGCTGACAGACTTCTAGGGCAGATAATACATACAAAATTAAGACGAAAAGTTTTAATAAACATAAATCGTCGCAAATGCCTCCTTAACGAGGTACAGGGCGTCAAAGTTTCTGTAAAATTAAACATTGTCTGCTATTATTCCAAAATGCCTGAACATTTCTATTTCAAATTTGCTATGCGTAGTTAGCACCTTAAGACCAATGTTTGATGTACTGCTCAAAATTTTATGAGCAGCAGTGTCGTAGAGACGGGGTCAACGTGACCCTTTTTTTAAAATATTTTCTACGCCACTGCTAATTTTGTCAAAAGGGCACTATTTTCGTGTAACGTGTTCAATTGTCTATCGAATTGGTCTCTTGCAAAATTTGGATTAAAGCAACCATTTTTAAGAGAAACACCTTTGTAGAATATTTGTAAATCCAATTTTATTTTCATTCATTTTAGTTTCGCATAGTAGGCTTGTGCTATTTAAAATAAAATTAAACATCGCCTGTCACTAATGTCAATGTGTAAGTGAGTTAAGTAAACTAGTTTAAAAGTTTACGCTTTAATTTTACGGAAACTTTGACGCCCTGTATCTCCTTAAGGAGGCATTTGCGACCCTATGTTTATTAAGACTTTTCGTCTTAATTTTTCATATATTACTTATCCTAGAAGTCTGTCAGCGGTTTTTTTGAATCACCCTGTATATAAAAAATATTTGAAAACGTTTTTTAAATGCGTTCTTTAGGCATTATACAATTATTGCATGATACAAACAATAAGAGCAAAATTAGTTAATACTATATACGATTCTAACATATATGTTTATTCTACGATATTAATACCCTGATACCAAAGGTAATTTAAATACTTACACTTACTTCTATCAGCAGGTGGTTGATGCACGTCGTTTAACTATTTTAACAGGCTTTAAATTTCACTTTCCACTTTTCAAATTAATAAAAACGTCATTCAGTCACGCACTTATAAAACAAAGAAACAGAAAAGAAAAAACAGAAAATGGCAAAATGCGGGTCATACGTTAATATGTCATACTGCGCATGCAGCATGCACTGTGCCAAGCCAAGAACCATCCCGGGATGGGATCACTCTAGGTCTAGGATTTGCCTAGGATATCCCAAAATTGGAGATTGTTCGGCTTTTAATAGCTTCATAGGATATTTCCAGGACATCCTGTCTGGATTTACCTGGGATATCCACAACTAGGATATTGACAGGATCTACTTGCCTTATTTAAATATCATGAGGATATCCTGAGGACTAAGATCCCCGATTAGGATATACAGGCTGTTACAAATTCGCTTCTCACTACAGGGATCTCGGAAACGGTAAGAGGTACGAAGTACCTTAAATGGGGCCAAAGTTGCGTAATCAGGGAACCAACATTATGCCTCTAAAATAAATTAGTTTTCGAAATATTTGGAAAAAAGCGAAATTTTGGAAATCCGTTTTTGTTTCATTTCAGCCTTGTTTGAGGTGATATTGAAAAAAGAGCAACACTTTCTCATGGCGACTTTTTGCCCTCTATCGAATGGCATAATCAATTTTTATATGTAACGTTTCGTCTCTCCAGGACCATCCCCAAATTCATTTTTTTAAATACGTCTAGAAATGTTACATTTTTTGCAAGCCTTAATGACTCCCAATACTATACTGCCTCAGCCCGAACCAGATTTAGACGTTTTGTCTTATTCCAGCTTTCGAGCGATGTTCAGGATTTTCTAACACCCTGTAAAACCCCAGACGACGCCCCGACACTGCGGACATGCCTGTGTCGGGGCGAATATACAAATTCGCCTACCTTTTCAATTTCATCATGCAATATACCATGGTCGAGGAGTTAGTCGCCGTTGCCGTGCTAAGCGACTGGTAATTCCACCAGAGTGCATTTTCCGGCATCGCACCCGATGTCGACGAGACACCTCAAAACCGACTCCGCAGTACAGCGCGGACGTCGGCCTCCATAACTAGACCGATCGCTCCAGAGACGACTACGAGGAAACCCATCGGGTTTCGCCCTCCTTTCCAATTTTCCGACGACGCGGCCAATCTCGCCCGGGTCTGCCACCAACGCGCCTAGCATCCATAGCAACGACGACAGCAATCCGTCGACGACCTCCGGCGTGTTCCAGTATAATAATTGGAAATGGTATCAAGGAATTTTGCTGATGTTTCCATTGGGTCCAAGGACGTTGTCGCCAATAACATCCGAACCACTCGAGCGATCTGGTTCAAAATTTAATGCAGCACTCCTCAAGTCGCTGGCATTATTCCATTAAAATTTCGTCCGAATTGGATGAGCAATAACGACGTTATACGGGGAAACGTGGATTTTACGCTTTCCGCGTTTTCAGCCGTTCTGCTCATTCGATCTCGGCCGAACCCCAAAACCATCATAAAGCTTCCCTATGTGGTCATCACTTTCAAATTCGAGCCGAATCGTGCTACTACTAACGGCCAGCTAATCCATAATAGGATTTCACGTTCCGTTGGAAGTGTCTGCATGATCTCGGCAAAACTCTCCAACCACGGTACTTCTCCATGCTATGTATCACCATACCACTTCTGAACGAAATCCATCCAGTATTAAAAACTCCATAAGCCCTTTTACGAAGACGGGAAAAATTTCACCACTTTCCAATTTTCCCGTCTTTGGGCCAAAAAGACCGACTTACGAGGGTCCTACCGCTTTGGCGGCTCG